ACAGATGTAATATATATATATATATATATATATATATATATATATATACATATCCTAAAAGAGTGGGTCACGGCTTGATGACCATGGGAAAATGTGTGTCCCATGGCCAAACCAGTTGAGAACCACTGTTTATCCTGTTTTTATGGACAACAAGGGTAATTATGACTTTTTATTTCACAAATTACGAGTTTATATCTCACAATTCAACCTTTTTTTGCACTTCTGAGAAAAAAAAAAGTCACAATTTGAACTTTTAGAGGACACTTCGAAGGAAAAAAGTCACAATTGCAAGATATAAACTCATAATTGTGAGATATAAACTAAGAATTCTGATTTAGTTTCTCGCAATTCTGAGTTTACATCTCCCAATTCTGTTTTTCCCCCCGTCCTGGAATAAAAAATAAAACGTGTAACTGCTACTTTTTATTTTGCATTTCTAACTTTTTCTGGCAATTATGAGTTTATATCTCACAATTCAAACTTTTTTCACAATTCTGAGAAGAAAAAATATATAATTGCAAGAAAAAAAGTCTGAATTGTGAGATAAAAAGTTGCATTTACTTTTTAAATTTATTATTCAATGGTGAAAAGAAGCTTCCATAGTTTTTAGCTAATAAGAGAACAAAACTAAATATAATTAGTAACACGCCTACCATCCAATAACTGCAATAAGCTTTGTGCTTTGATATTTTTGACATGAAACAAAGTCTTAGTTTTCAAATTCTGTCAATTTTAACGAAATTCAAACAAAAAATGTCGATTTGACACACTTTAATGTGACGTGTCAGATCGCTGTAGCTGCCTCAGCTTAAAAAACTGCCTGCGTACAACTTAAATGCTTATATACACTGAAAAAAAATGTACTCAGAAATCGTTAGTAAATTTCACAATTACAAAGAAAACGCAAGTAACACATTGAATGAAATGTGACATTTTGAAGCAGAAAAACTGAAATAGTATTTTCTTGTAAAATATACTCCAATATCTTTATTTTAAACTTTGAAAAAAGAAATACAGTGTACAACTCAGTGTTTATTATTAAGTAAATTTGAATATTAATTACTAGATTATTAAATACAATTTATTTTGAGTTTTGTTTTTCAAATTAAATTAAACTCTTGATGCTGGTTTTGGTATTTCAGCAAAAAATTACTTTGTGTTTCACATTTTTTATTTTATTTTATCTTATTTTATGTTTTTATGTGGAGCACAAAAGCAAAAGTTTAGCGGAACGTTCACACTGCTCATTTCCAAATGATAAATGTAAATTCCTGTCTGTTTCTCGTTTTCTCTCAGTGACCTTGTCCTACCTGTTGTCTGTAGATGGAGAAATAGTCATGTGATCCGGCCTCAGCGTGTGGCTTGCTCATGAGGCAGTAGTTTCTCAAACAAGTGACCCACTTAGCAGAACCGTCCACTCTCTGCTGCAAACAGACCGTCAAATACGCTGTGTAGTAGTTCTTGAACGAGATTTCCTGAATCTAGACAGAAGCACAGGAGATATTGCAGCATAAGGTGTGTATTGGGCATTAATAAACCCATGCCTGTCGATCAATAATTGCAATCTTTATGAACTGATGTGAGAGATACTCACGTTCACAGGCTCGGCAAGGGTGATGTCTGTTATATAGACACCAGGGCGAGATGAATCAGATACAGCGTCTCCGATCTGCAGCGCCACAGGTGATTTTATTGTGCAGCTCACTGCTTTAGCACTCATGATTGACCTGTGATAAGAAAAAAATAAAAAATAAAACTCTAAAAAATGTTATTAAACTGCGGCCCTTAAACGGTTTAAACTTCACAAGTAACGGATCCATGTTATTGATCAAGACACATAGCGTCAGGCTTTATTATTAATAGAATTTCTTAAATATAGAATTTCAGTTTTTTTCCAATCAAAAAAATAAAAAAATAAAAAAATAAGCCATTTCCCCTGTTGTTTTGAGACCTTATTCCAATATATATATATATATATATATATATATATATAAATATATATACTGTATGTGTGTGTATATATATATATATTTTATTTTTATTTATTTTTTTTATTACAGTTATCTTTGTTGTTACTAGCTGTATAATAATAAAAACAGCAACAACAATAATTATAATAATAATAAGTAGTGTTCACTTGAGAATAAATGTTATTAAAAATAACATTAAAAAAGAAAATCTAGTAATTCTTCTACAACATATCTATATTAACAAAAAAAATGTTATTGAATAGCTCTCAACAATAATTTAAACTACAAAAATAATTAACACAATCCATAAAACTACACTGGAACATGAATGCTAATTAAACTGCATTATAAGTGTTATGAGAATAAAATCCATGAGTGCAAATAGTATGTAGTTTAAATCTTATTAACAATACTTACCAAAACTGACAATATGTATGAAAACTATACATTTAAACAATATTTATGTCCTCATGTCGATACATTTACAAATCTTACAAAGCATTTTGAAATCATTTTAAATTATCAGAATTTTGTCTTGTATGTTTGAATCAGCATTGCTATTATTTAATAAAATGTGTGTCTGCTTTTAACCCTGGATGGCAGAATAAACAAATCTGATCAAAGCATTTGGAACAAAAAAAATGCAATTAATGGTGAGATGCCAAAAAAACAGGACCTGTATGGCAAAAAGGGCGTTATGAGTATAACGCGTCTATGTTGCCTAAACATGCTGTCTATGTAGGCAGCGTTTGAGTTTTTAAACACGGACAGTAACATTACATATCACTGCAGTGCTTACTATATTCAGATGTCTGACTCGCTCTTTGGACTAAATTTACCTTGTATCAAAATAGCCGACTCATACCCTTAAATGGTGCTGAGGCGATTTGGAGCAGCAGTGTCATTGAGTCTCCTGCGCTGGAGCTGGAAGCAGCTTTATGGTTTTATGTGTTGATAGTTGGAGCTCCGCTTGTCTCTTCCGGTCCGCTGTGTGTGTGTGTGTGTGTGTGTGTGTGTGTGTGTGTGTGTGTGTGCATGCATGACGTGTTTTTCTTAAAGGGCCAGTGTCATTACAGTAAACAATCAATGCCTTATCAAAGAAACCATCATTACAGAATTATACAGAACAATCAGTAGCATAATAATGACGATGATTATTATTATAATCACAATGGAAATCTGTTGTTTATTTTCATGATTTTAGAAGGAAAAAACAAACAAACATAAAAACTAGCAGTTCCGATATACATATCTATATTTTAAAATATATTGTTGGTTATTTAATGGCATTTCAGCAGTAATTTAAACTATAAAACGATTAACACTATTACCAATGTTACAATTATCACGAAATATGTTTCTTCCCCTCAAGCATGTTACATCTCTCTTATTGTGTAAATACTTATTTATCAATGCTGAATCCAATGAGTTGAAGCAGTTCATGAAAAAGTTACAGGTTAAAAAAATGGCAAATAATTTAATAAATGTGTGGTTTTTGTGCATAATTCAATCGTAAATTATGTAATATAGACTCAGAATTTATGGTCAAGCTCAGTTCTGAAGTTTCCTTGTCTCAGCTCTATATGAGATATTTAAATGAGGATTTCTCTTCATACAATGCTGCAAAATGTGTTTTTTTTTATTACAATTATTTTTTCTATGCCACTACTCACAGTCACCGGCAGAGGGCAATAACGCTCTTCGGTTACAAACTCACATGTCCCGTGTACAGTATGTACTGAATCCTCTATGATTGGCTTCATCTCTTATATAAAACACATTTCTGTTCCACCAACGTGTCTATTGTTCGGCATGCATGACATAAAATACTGTTTCTGTCAAAGTCGTGATAATTAAGGATGCATAATTAGTCATGAGATTCATACAAAACCCATTGTTGATTTAATATGCCGGGCCCTGTGCAGAAATAAAAGTTTTTTTGTTTTTTTTTTGATAAAAAGCATTAATAGCTTATACAATACTTTTTTGTCGTTAGTATGTGTGTCAAGTCTATAAGTGCATACGCATTGTTTTATTAGCCTATTTATAATATATTTAATTGTTACTTATTATATTATTGTTTTTTTTTCTTTTTTCTATTAATTCTTTTTCCTGTAGACTCGTAACGTAAATTAAGAGTAAACGTTGAATTGACAGCCGTAGTTTATTATTATTACTATAAAGATCGATAACTATTATTATTGTTTTTTTTGTTGTTGTTTTTTAACTAAATAAATGCCCACACCCTCATGCACGCCTCACTTTGTCATTGCACAGAAATGAGTAACAAATTCAAAAACCAGCTCTTCCCAGGTTCGCTATGGGAAACGGAAAATACAGTATTCTCCCAGCTGGCCCGTGTCTGGCCTACTGGAGCAGGTAGTATTTAGGCGCAGGGTTTGTGCACAGTCATGTTTCCGTGTTACTTCATCTCAACCGGAGTTTTTTGGCCAGAGAATCAAACACCCCCTCAGAGACACGCTTCATGGTTCGCTCTGGCTGAAAGCAATGGAAAACACCTTCAAGGCTAGCCTAGAGGAAGGGAAGACGACTCGGAGGGGAAGGATTTATCATCAAACATGTTTCCAAACGAGTCACTGTGAGCCAGGCGACTCAAACAGCGCGTCTGACTAGGCCAGGCGTTGACATGATCGGCGGGAGCTGTATTTTGTTTGCTTGTTTAGTTGGATTTCAGGCTCTTCCCACACTCCCACACATACCTAAAACTGTATCTTAAGCATTTCTTTCCATCAAAAACACGTTGTCTAGCCTGTAAGACGAATATTCGGCACGATAAACATTTGAACTAGATTGGTGAATGTTAATATACTGTTAGACCACAAACATTCACATGACATCAGTCCAATGGTTTATTTATTTATTTTTATTTTTTTAAGGTGAACCATTCTAATGTTTTTTTTTTTTTTTTTTATCGTACTGTGAAGAAAATTGGTCTGAAAACACAAATCCCATTAAAAAAAACGGACCGGGTTTTGTGCCGAACATTCATGTTGAGCAGGGGCGCCGCTATGGTTTCTGGGCCCCCTGAACAGCATATTGACTCGGGCCCCCTCCGCAATCGCGTTCCGGGCCCCCTCTCCCTCGTCGGGCCCTTGGAATCATCCTAACCTTCCCCCACCCCCATTACGGCACCCCTGGATGTGAGGCTTTTCCCATTAACAAAACTGTTATGAAAATGTTATTTATGAATGTTCTCAGAACATTCAAACTGTCTAGTTTTTTGTTGTTGTTTTTGTTTTTGCATTAAGGGAATGTTCAATTTTATCTTTTTGGAAACATTATGATAACGTTACTTTTGAATGTTCTCTGAATAATCTGAAACAAAATAACATTTTAAAAAATATTAGACTAACGTTAGGGTGACCGTACATTCTCTTTTCCGACTTTCTGAGATTTCTAAATTGCCAAAAATGTCAGGTTTTTGTTCTGTTTCCTGTTGACAGGTTCTTCACAGTCCTAATACATTATATGTGTGCATTTTCATTGCTTTGCCCATTCAATGGAAGTTGTGGCCTAATGGTTAGAGAGTCAGACTTGTAACCCGAAGGTTGCGGGTTCGAGTCTCAGGTCTGGTAGGGATTGTAGGTGGGGGGAGTGAATGTACAGTGCTCTCTTCCACTCTCAATACCATGACTGAGGTGAGACCCTTGAGCAAGGCACCGAACCCCCAACTGCTGCCCGGGCACCGCAGCAAAAATGGCTGCCCACTGCTCCGGGTGGAACTGGACACCCCTGACATCTGATTGGCCACCTGGGTGCCACCCCAAAGTTTAATATGCTACTATTTCATTTTCTTTGTTTAATCGTACTGAAAGAAGCATTTATTTAAGCCTCGCATCTCATCTGGTGTAGCTTCCAGCCTCTGCTAACTCTCACGCTAACTAACACTGCTAACTCTTACTTTTCTTATGCCGTGAAAAACATCGCAGGCCACAGACAACGTGCTTAGAGACAAGACAGAACAGGTTACTTTTGATAATAGGAAACAATCTCTCAGTATTCAAATTATGTTCGTTTTACTAAAGGGGTCATATGATGCGATTTCAAGTTTTCCTTTCTCTTTAGAGTGTTGCAAGCTGTTCGTTCATAGATAAGATCCCTAAAGCTGCAAAGACTAAAGTCTCAAACCCAAAGAGATATTCTTTATAAAAGAGGCTCGTCCAGACTCGTAACGTAAATTAAGAGTAAACGTTGAATTGACAGCCGTAGTTTATTATTATTACTATAAAGATCGATAACTATTATTATTGTTTTTTTTGTTGTTGTTTTTTAACTAAATAAATGCCCACACCCTCATGCACGCCTCACTTTGTCATTGCACAGAAATGAGTAACAAATTCAAAAACCAGCTCTTCCCAGGTTCGCTATGGGAAACGGAAAATACAGTATTCTCCCAGCTGGCCCGTGTCTGGCCTACTGGAGCAGGTAGTATTTAGGCGCAGGGTTTGTGCACAGTCATGTTTCCGTGTTACTTCATCTCAACCGGAGTTTTTTGGCCAGAGAATCAAACACCCCCTCAGAGACACGCTTCATGGTTCGCTCTGGCTGAAAGCAATGGAAAACACCTTCAAGGCTAGCCTAGAGGAAGGGAAGACGACTCGGAGGGGAAGGATTTATCATCAAACATGTTTCCAAACGAGTCACTGTGAGCCAGGCGACTCAAACAGCGCGTCTGACTAGGCCAGGCGTTGACATGATCGGCGGGAGCTGTATTTTGTTTGCTTGTTTAGTTGGATTTCAGGCTCTTCCCACACTCCCACACATACCTAAAACTGTATCTTAAGCATTTCTTTCCATCAAAAACACGTTGTCTAGCCTGTAAGACGAATATTCGGCACGATAAACATTTGAACTAGATTGGTGAATGTTAATATACTGTTAGACCACAAACATTCACATGACATCAGTCCAATGGTTTATTTATTTATTTTTATTTTTTTAAGGTGAACCATTCTAATGTTTTTTTTTTTTTTTTTTATCGTACTGTGAAGAAAATTGGTCTGAAAACACAAATCCCATTAAAAAAAACGGACCGGGTTTTGTGCCGAACATTCATGTTGAGCAGGGGCGCCGCTATGGTTTCTGGGCCCCCTGAACAGCATATTGACTCGGGCCCCCTCCGCAATCGCGTTCCGGGCCCCCTCTCCCTCGTCGGGCCCTTGGAATCATCCTAACCTTCCCCCACCCCCATTACGGCACCCCTGGATGTGAGGCTTTTCCCATTAACAAAACTGTTATGAAAATGTTATTTATGAATGTTCTCAGAACATTCAAACTGTCTAGTTTTTTGTTGTTGTTTTTGTTTTTGCATTAAGGGAATGTTCAATTTTATCTTTTTGGAAACATTATGATAACGTTACTTTTGAATGTTCTCTGAATAATCTGAAACAAAATAACATTTTAAAAAATATTAGACTAACGTTAGGGTGACCGTACATTCTCTTTTCCGACTTTCTGAGATTTCTAAATTGCCAAAAATGTCAGGTTTTTGTTCTGTTTCCTGTTGACAGGTTCTTCACAGTCCTAATACATTATATGTGTGCATTTTCATTGCTTTGCCCATTCAATGGAAGTTGTGGCCTAATGGTTAGAGAGTCAGACTTGTAACCCGAAGGTTGCGGGTTCGAGTCTCAGGTCTGGTAGGGATTGTAGGTGGGGGGAGTGAATGTACAGTGCTCTCTTCCACTCTCAATACCATGACTGAGGTGAGACCCTTGAGCAAGGCACCGAACCCCCAACTGCTGCCCGGGCACCGCAGCAAAAATGGCTGCCCACTGCTCCGGGTGGAACTGGACACCCCTGACATCTGATTGGCCACCTGGGTGCCACCCCAAAGTTTAATATGCTACTATTTCATTTTCTTTGTTTAATCGTACTGAAAGAAGCATTTATTTAAGCCTCGCATCTCATCTGGTGTAGCTTCCAGCCTCTGCTAACTCTCACGCTAACTAACACTGCTAA